GGAGCTACCAGCCAAAAGGAAACGCACCCCAAGGCTCATCCTGTCTTCTCTGTACAAAAGCTCTTTTTGCAAACTCAAGCTCAGCTCTGTCATCTCTCATCCATCTGACTAAAGCAACATTACAATGTGATGAACTGCAAAATGCTGAAGAGCAATAAAAACACAAACATACAGTATGCTTCCCACTGGCCTGCTTTGCAACACTGTTTTGTTGTTTTATGAATCTATATAAATGCACCAAAGTCTCCTCCTGATGAAAGAAGCAACGGAATGACTTTGACCATCCTTGAATCACATTAAAACAAAGTTTTCAAAAACATGTACAACTTATTTAAATTATAAAATGGAACAAAGGGTAGCTCTTTGCATAGAGCTGAAATTCTCCTGACAAGCAAAGCTGCTCAATGTGCCATGAATGACAGCGCAGCCTAATTTAACAAGCTCCTCATCTCAGCTGGGGTAAGAGAGTTTTAAAGAACAGAGAAACTTTAATATTTCTGAGAATTATGTTAACATGTCATCAGTACGACACTGGGCCTTGTCAATAAAATATTACAGCAAGTAAATAAGATGTACATGCACTTCAAAGTAAAGATGAGTAGTAATTAGCCAACATGCCAAAGAGGGTTGTGCTTACACATCACATCAGGCCTAACTAAAGGGTAAAGGGTTAAAGAACATGCTGCATTCTCACCTCACCTATTAGTGTGATTTGCACTTGCACATTGCTTATTAAGTGAAAGTCTCAGAAATGTATACAAGTATAACCTTAAAATCGATAATGACAGTTGTTTACATTAATTCATAAGATAGACCTACTGCTAATGCACATTACACTACAAAACATCTCACCAGCTATGTTTTCAAACGATTTTTTTCAGCAGATTTATTAAAAAATAAAATAAAATAAAACAAAACACTGACAGACAACTTTAAAGTCCTCAACAATTATGTTCACAGGACATGCGCCGCTTTTATTGTAAACATAAGGTATTACAAACAACAACGTTTATTGGTGTGAACGCTTATTTTTACAGTTACCATATCATTCTTGGTGAGAAAGGGCCGAAAAAACTAGGTTATGAATACCATGAGTATGGTTCTGCAGCGAATTGCAATGTCAAGAATAGTTTAGAACATTACAGTGTGAACACCTGGTTACAGTCTTTAGCTAGCAACGTCCACCCAATCATAAACTAAACAGCGCTTACCTTATTAAACATTTATGTGTTTTGTATAGTCGCAGAAACTTCCAAATGCCGTTTAGATTCAGTGTCTAGCTTTCCCATTTTTACTAGTGCTATCAAACGATTAATCGCATCCAAAATAAAGTTTTTGTTTATGTAATATACAGTATGTGTGTGTATTGTGTATATTTATTATGCAGTACAATCATATTTTGCGCAGCTTGTCGGTGAACAACGGCTCTGTGTGCAGCCCTAATTTAAAGAGTTTTTATATTTTATATTTTTTATATTTTATAAAAATCTGACATACAGTATTTTCAAAATGATGTGGTTAAACCCGAAAGAACATAATATATATTTTTCACATGCATTTAAAATCAAAATACAAATTTTTCATTTATTAAATCAACATAAAATGAATACCTGTTGCAGTAATGATACCTAAGGACAGGGCATCACAGTATGGTAGGGGCGTAACATTTCCGTCACATGCTTGAGGAATTCGTCCAATCACAACGCACTGGATAGCTGACCAGTCAGAGCACACCTCGCTTTTCAGACCTATGAGCTTTGTAAAAATCGACGCGTTTCAAAAAGGCGGGGCATAGAGGAGAAAAAATAATGTAAAGTATGTGGAAAATAATGTGTTTTTTGAACCTTAAACCGCATAAACACATTTCATTACACCAAATACACAAAATAATGTTCTTTTTAGCAACATCATATGACCCCTTTAATATAGAAATATAACATATTTTTCTTAAATATATACATGAATGTGTGCATTTATATATACATAATAAATATACACAGTACACACACATATATTATGTAAACAAAAACTTTTATTTTGGATGCGATTAATCGCGATTAATCGTTTGACAGCACTAATTTTTACCACACACGCGTTACCAAAACAGGTCGCGTGCACAACAACTTCTGATCAAAATCAGCGTTACTGACTCATGAATATGCAAATAAGAACGTTCTTCCGCTGTTTACCAATTGTACAGTACAGTGTGAAATTTTCAAACATATGATGACTACCCATGATTCATTAATAAGGCAGCTTGAAGTGTGAACAGTGTGAAAAACCCATGATTACGTTCATTTAGGGTTTAAGTGACACTGTGTAACAATGTCAGTGCAAGTCCTTTATATTTGATGAACTTCAGCTGCAACACATTTTAAATCGCTACAGTAAATGTAGACCTGTGGGATTCAGTCAGTAGATGTGCCAGAACGTACAATTTCATTCAAACAGGATGATCCCCAAAGAAATCACTTGCCCAGACAAGTCCCATTAAACAATAAAATAAAAAGCAGTTATAGTTATCGTGACTACTCTACTTGATGCATAAAATATAACAAGACCAACTCTGCCAGTAGCACGGTATCTTTGCTACAACTGAAATTGTATCATATGCACTGACAGGATCACCCTTTCTGACGCACAACAACTTCTGATCAAAATCAGCGTTACTGACTCATGAATATGCAAATAAGAACGTTCTTCCGCTGTTTACCAATTGTACAGTACAGTGTGAAATTTTCAAACATATGATGACTACCCATGATTCATTAATAAGGCAGCTTGAAGTGTGAACAGTGTGAAAAACCCATGATTACGTTCATTTAGGGTTTAAGTGACACTGTGTAACAATGTCAGTGCAAGTCCTTTATATTTGATGAACTTCAGCTGCAACACATTTTAAATCGCTACAGTAAATGTAGACCTGTGGGATTCAGTCAGTAGATGTGCCAAAACGTACAATTTCATTCAAACAGGATGATCCCCAAAGAAATTACTTGCCCAGACAAGTCCCATTAAACAATAAAATAAAAAGCAGTTATTAAAGATCGTGACTACTCTACTTGATGCATAAAATGAACCAACTCTGCCAGTAGCACGGTATCTTTGCTACAACTGAAATTGTATCATATGCACTGACAGGATCACCCTTTCTGACAGATGCCGAAGCCTCGGGTCGTATTTTAAATGGTCAATTCAGTCCTCATGTGTAACCAAATCAGAAACACTTTATTTAGATTTGTGCGCATTATTCCAAATAATCCCCTTAATTTGCTGCTCTGGGTGTGAGAACACTGATAAACGCTTCCTTCTGCATCATAATCATAATCAAAACGACCACGGTCAAATTAAAGGGCTGCATTTCACTAGCAGCTCATTGTGCGCGCGTGTTACTATCAAGCATGACGCGCGTGCCTCAAAACAACGTAGATACATATCAATTGTAGACAAGTGATGCATTTTCAAATGCTTTAAAGTAAACGCTCATGATGAGACATCTACAAACGCACTAGAGCTAAATGTATGTGTAACTACTACCAAGCAACTGCTCTCAATTGATAAGAGAGTAAATACGCGAATCGCTCGATCAGTTGAGATACGAGTGAACGCGAATGCAGTAGTAGTACACAGGTAGCCTTTTGGGGTTGCGAAGTAAGTTTCTAAATGTCGAGTTTAAATGATCATATAGATAAAGGATATAGCGGCGAAGAAGAATCTTACCTGTCTGCTCTCTGTGAGTGAGTTGTAGGGACAGCAGCAGCAGCAGCACACTCGTTCAACTTGTCAACTGTATCAGCGGATGATTCCACGATTAGCTTCAAGCATCTCCGCGAAAAAAAAATCACTGCTTACTTTTTCGAATCAGTCGTGTGATTATTCAAAGGAAATGCCTCAGCTTAATTGTAAAAACGGGACTTGTAAAATGCGACGATGCTTTCCAGTGTAGACAACAAAAACCCTCTCAGTGTTATTGGATTCTTCCAAGGCTGGCTTTGCACACTACTACAAGTGCACTGATTACAGCGCATCTCTCTCGTACACACTCTACAGAAATATTGCAACGTTTTTAAATAGACAAATCCATGTATACTGAACAAGCAAAACTGAAAAAAAAAAAGAATAAATTAGCAAACATCAGTAGCAGGCTATAAAGTGTACATCAGCATCAATAATATATATATATATATATATAATAGAAATTAAAGAATTATAATTTTAGATTATAACAGTGATATATATATATATCACTGTTATAATCTAAAATAATAATTCTTTAATTTCTATTATTTCTACTTCCAATAAGATAATGAGGGGGTAGTCAGTTTACTCCTATTCTTTGGTTGTCATATATTAGATGCAGTTTTAATATCATTGGCAATATAATAAAGAGTGGTATTATTTGAGAGTATAGTATCAGTATTGTTTGAAATATAATTAAAGATACCCTTGTTTATTGGTGAATGCCTTCATTTTCAATGATTACATCACTGTCAACAAATCTCTTCCATAATAATCATATTCAATAACAACAGTGTTGGAATTCAAATCGATGACAAAAATTGTAAACTTAGTTCATTCTTGCTCCAATATAACAACTGATTATATTATTATTAATATCTTTTTCCCTCACTTTATTTTGATTTTCTCCACCTCAGCAGGTTACACCATACAGATATAGAATGATTGAAGAATGATAGAATGATGGTACACGGACTAATGAGTTATTATTAATCTGTCTATATCTGTCTTTTATAATGGAATATTGAATCAATATGTATTAATTTAATCATATTGAATATTATTTGCATATTTAATAAACAATAATCAGAATAGTCCAGAAACTAGGATTCTGATCCGGGTTCAGTTTCTATTAACTTCTAAATGAGATTATGTTTGAACAAAGAACATAAACTGTTTTGTGAACGGTTGCAATGCTGTGGGCGGTCCTGTCCTCGTTTTCAGGTCTGGTTTTAGCCAATCAGCGCCGGACTTCTCTACAGACGTCAATGCGAAGTTGGTTTAGCCCTTTGTACAGTGTGTTAGCCTCCTGTGCTCTAAGTTGCCTCTCACAGTAGCGGCACAATGAATGAATTGTGATCATTGACAACACATGGATCCGTAAGTAACATATCACATAACCTGTTATAAACGAAAGAGAAAACCAGTTCGATTTCGTTTTTGTTAGCTGTCTATCTTCAAGTTATCCGACCGGTTAGCAAGGTTGTTAGGCTACTGCTAGCCTGCTGTCAGACTGCATCTCTCAGTTGACACAAGCCTGACTTTAAACCTACTGGATCATTCTCTATGAATGAAGCACACTGGGGATCAAAGACAGCTAGTTAATCTATGTCTAATAGCATACATTTATACACATAATATTATCTTAAACCGCTTATTGTTACCTATGTATCTGAACACTCTCAGATTATGCCAAAATAGTGCAAGATATGATTTGTGACGTGACGGTGTATGACTGTTTTCATGTCTGTGTTCATAAGCCAAGATGTTTTCAGTGTAAAGCGGCTGGATTCTACAATGTTCTTCAATATCGATTAGTTCCACATCACAACAAATGTGTATTTCATGTCTTCATTGCTGTTCAGCACAATATGTTTAGTAAGATATTTAGGAGACCATGGTTGTATTGTTACCATGTGGTCTGAAATATTAATACCGTTTCTCTATTCGATTACTGTTTCATTTTATCCTCAGATTGAGTTTTGTTAGATGCGAGAACTGTTGCTGGAATAGTTTGATTGATCCCCTTCAAGGTTGTCCCCTGTGCTTACAAGCACAGCTTTTGTCTCTCATCCAAAATTCATTGTCTTATTCTCTCTTTCATCTGTTCGTCTAGCACATAGCACGTCCCAGCTCTGACCTCTGACCTCACTGAGATTGAAAACTCCTGCCATCAGTAACCTCCTCATGTGCATCATCTTCTTGAAGTTTGACCCTCGGCCTGCATCCAAAAATGCCTACAGGTAGTGCACCTGCTCCCAGAAGCTTTATTGTTTATGCGTTCAGTCAGTGCAAATCGTGATAGGGAAAGTTCTTGCACATGTGTGGGAACAAGATGTTGTTTGATACTGTCAGAAAACATTTTTAAATAAATGCTGAAAAAGTATAAAGTGTTGGCATGTAAAGCAAAATCTTTTGGCCCATATTTCAGCTTTTGAAGGTGCACTCATTTATTGTAGCGCTGGCTAATGTGGCCGTATTTGACTTGTTTTGACACTGTCCAGTAGATGCTGAATCATGGAAAAGCAAACGTTTTCAGTTACCGATGACATTGTATAAATGCTCACAGTGAGCCATGATTCATTTATTCCACAGACGGAAGTGTCCAGGAAAAGAGGGAGTATTATTAGTCGCTGTGATTTTGCCAAGTAAGACATGTTCCTGGATCAAAATTACTGTCCAAAAATATAGACTTAACCCAATCCCTACCCCTAAACCTAACCCTACCCATAATTTATTCCTAAAATCAGTGTGAAATGATAGCTGATTAACAAGGGTGTAGAAGCACCTAACCCTGATCATAAGCCTAAATCAATCCTTCAATCCTAAGTTATCCTTCAATTCTGACTGGTTGATTGGAATGTTGTTCCAGGATCAACAAGGATGTTGTACTTGGTGAAATCACGCTCACCCTACTGGTAAAAAGTTTGGAATAATTCTAGTTTCTTAAAAGTTGTTTAAGGCTGCATTTACTAAAAATACAGTGAAAACAGTAATATTGCATTTTAAAACTTACTGTTTCCTATTTTAAAATATTTAAAATGTAAAAAAAATTATTCTTGTAATGACAAAGCTGATTTTCAGCAGCCGTTACTCCAGTCTTCAGTTTCACATGATCCTCCAGAAATCATTCTAATATGCTGATTTGGTGCTCAAGAAACATTTCTTATCAACGTAGAAAACAGTTTTGCTGCTTAAAAACTGATTTTTTTTTCTTCTTCAGGATTCTTTGATAAATAGAAAGTTTAAAAAAATATTTGAAATAGATCTTTTGTAAGAAAGTTTTTACTGTCACTTTTGATAAATTTATCGAATCCTTGCTAAATGAAAGTAAAATCTTACTGACTCCAAACTTTTGAACTTTGGTGTTTTTGTTTCAGGAAAATGATTTGTTTTATTTACATTAATGTTACATTAAATCCCATGTGGCTTTATTTCATCATTGCATTTAGTCTAACCTATAATTTTGTTTAAGCTGTGGTGTGCACTTACTGTAAAAGGCCAGAAAAACAATGAATGTGCAGTACTGCAATAGTGTTGTGGCGTACCAAGCTGATGAACTAGGCCCAGGTGACCTCTACCACAGTTTTAAGCTCTCAGTCCCTAAAGGATATGCCTCTAGGTCAGGGTTTGCCAAATGTCAGGAGTCTCTAAAGAGCTAGAGAGAGCAAAATCAGTATTTACATTTTTTTTTGTCAATAGCCGTTGCCTGGTGAGCTATGAATCATGTGTATGTAATCAATTTGCATGTGCTAGTGTTCTATGTCTTCCTTCCCCTTCACTGCAGAGAGGTTACTTTTGTTAATACTGTCAGATTGTAACACGGTACGCTAATCAGGATTATTGCCCAGCAAGCTGTAATTTGATTATCTAATATTGAGTCAGTCACAGTGGTTCAGAGTCACATGACTCAACCCCGGATGTAAAATCTAATCAGTGACACTATGTCTTGAAGGTTGTCTTGCGGTGCATTGGTTCCTCTGATTTAGGAATCAACTTGGCATCAACTTGTTTACAAAACAGTGCCAAAATGTACTATAATTAAGTACTAAAATCAGGTAAATGTGTTAACAATATTACAGAATACAGAGTGCATTTCTGTTTATATTGCATCCTGTAACCTAGCAACATTACAATTTGCTTGGATCCACCTAGACCAGTGATTTCCAACAAGGAGTATGTACACCCAATGGAGTGCTTGAGCAGATCTAAGGGGTATTTAAAAATGTTTTAATTTTGTATTTTTCTGAAAACTGTGATTTTTAGGCTATATCATATATATATATATATATATATATATATATATATATATATCATATCAAATAA